CCTAAACCCGAAACCCAAAACCCCGACACCCTAAACCCGAAACCCTAAACCCCGAAACCCGAATCCCTGAACCCTAAACCCGAAACCCTAACCCCAAAACCCCGAAACCCTAAACCCGAAACCCCAAAACCTGAGCCTTAGGCCCTATCATCTTAAACCAAAGGGCTTAGGGTCTAGGTTTAAGGTTTAGGGTTTAGGGTTTAGGTGTTTAGGGTTTAAGGTTTAAGGCTTAGGGTTCAGGGTTTAGGCTGTAGGGTTTAAGGCTTTGGGTTTGGGGCTTAGGGCCCTAAGCAGAAGGCCCCATAGGCCCCATCATTTCGGGGAAGTTAAATCCCAAAATCCTAGTCCTCCCACAGGGCTTGTCGGGTTTAGGGTTCAGGGTTTTAAGGAGAATTTAGGGTTTATAGGGTGTAGGGTTTAAGGAGGGTTTAGGGTTTAGGGTGTAGGGTGTAAGGAGGGTCTAGGGTTCAGGGTTCAAGGAGAGTTTAGGGTTTAGGGGTTTAAGATTTCGGCTTCAGGGGTTTTAAACCCGACGCTAAACCCTTCCGAAATCCTACACCTCCGGAACCCTAGACCCTAGCCCCTCAGTCAACCCTGAACCTCAAACGCTGGAAGCCCCCAGAATCCGCGGCCTAGGGTATATCGCTTGCCGAAGTCCCCCAGGCAAAGCTCCTCCTGCACTCAGCTGGGTTTCATAGGGGTTTAGGGTTTAGGGCCTACTGTCAAAATCACGGTTTAGGGTTTAGGGTTTAGGTCCCTTTCACCCTATAACTAACCTCGTCTTCATACAACGCCCGATAGTTTGGGCACCCAAAAAGACCCTCATTTAGACAGCCAGCCAGCTCTCTGAAGCAAGCTTTGGTTGGAAACTAAGAGGGGCTGACGAAGGTTTCCTAACTTTGCGGCTTCAACACTGGGAAAAAGGTTTCGGGGGTATACTGTAGTAGAAATTTTGTCGAGACTGCAAAGATTAGTAAGAAGAAGCATTTAGAACAGTTTCATAAGACTTCTAGAGGGTTGCTATGGGTCTTTCTGCTTTTGGTAAGACCTGTCTTTACAGTGTTTGATGGCAGGTTTGTAGAACTATCCACTTGTAGCTTCTCTCTAAGTACACTCTAATTTGGGCCACAACCCAAGTCTACCTAAGGCCCCTATGTTACATGGCCCAAAGTGCCCCCTACCCAAAAGGGCTCGAGTTTCATGTGCCGTATAGGGTTTCATGGTAGACGGGTGTAGGGCCCACGCTTTACGTGTCATTGCATCCTTAAGGAAAGGTCTAGTGCCGTCAACGACGTCGCATCCATCGTCCGTCCAAGGTCTGATCCCAAGACTCAAAAAACCTGAAGCCAAGAACTCAAATAGTATCATAATGGGGCCTGTTGGGGGGGGGGAAGACGATCATGTGTCATTCAGATCTTTCTGCCGTTCAAAAAACCCTAAACCCTAAACCCTGAACCCCTAAACCCGAAACTCTAAAACCCTAAACCCTAAACCCTAAACCCAAAACCCTAAGCCCCTAAACCCGAAACTCTAAACACGAACAAGCTTGTTGCAGACTTTGTCAGTCGCAGACTAGGCGAGTGCCGCGATACACCCAGAATCCTAATCTAAGGTTCCTAAACCCCCCCTTAGGGTTTAGGGTTTAGGGCTCAGGGTTTGGGGCTTAGGGAGTTTAGGGGTTGCAGGCTTAGGGTTTGGGGTTTAGGGGTTTGGGCTTAAGTTTTAGGGTTTAGGAGTTCAGGGCTCAGGGTTTAGGGGTTTGGGGCTTAGGTTTTAGGGTTTAGGGGTTCAGGGCTTGGGGCTTAGGGTTTCCAGAATGTCCCCTAAAGCCCAGAAATGTCCTGCGGCCTACAACGCGGGCTCAACAGCCCAATCTCTCGAAACCCCAAGCCCAAACCTCTCTTCTTCAATGACCGGACCAATAAGGTTCAACTTCTTTTGATAACAGACGAAATATTTAGGGTTTAGGGTTTAGGGTTTAGGGGTCCAAAAAGTTTAAAGTTCTCCCATTGCCTATCTAAGAAAACCCTTAACCAGAGCCCAAACCAACACCGCAACCCGGGACATGAATGTACTTTTGGAACCGGTTTAGGTTTTAGGGTTTAGGTGGTAGGGTTTAGGGTTTCGTGTTTAGGTTTTAGGGCAAAAGCTTTAGGGCTTAGGGTGTAGGTTTTAGGGTTTAAAGTTGAGGGTTTAGCGTTTAGGTTTGAGGGTTTAGGGTATAGGTTTTAGGGTTCAGGGTATAGGTTTTAGGGTTTAGGGTATAGGGTTCAAGGTTTTGAACAAAAGGAGCCCTCAAAAATAATACCTAAAACCAAACAACCCTCAGCTCAAGTCCTCTCAGACGTAAATTTACAGGAACATCTTCACATTCCTCAAAGCCTACTGTAGTGGCCTGAATAATTACCAATACCATTTTGGGGGTTCCTTTTTATAATTGTCGTATATCCTTTTCAAAATCTAGTGTAATGGGCCCCAAACCCTCTTCTAATTATTAAGGCCCCTATACGATATTAAAGCCCTGACATCACATGCTCTAAGCTCGACATGCCTCGATACCGTTGGTCTCCGAGGAGGAAAAGTTTCCTGGATTTCAGCTTCTTTGCTCAGGAGTCTCCTTTAAGTTAGAAGGTTGTGTAAAGTTCCTAAAGCCCTAAACCCTAAGCCCTAGAATCTAAACCCTAGACCCTATACCCTCAGCCCTAAGCCCTAAACCCGAAGCCCCAAAGGCAGTACCCGGCCCGGCCAGGGTTTGGGGTTTAGGCTGTGGTGCTTCGCGGTTGCGGGCCTGGGTGTGGCTTCTGGAGACGACACCAGTGTTCAGGGTTCGGGGGCTCGCATGCAGCCAGGGCGCCCATGCCGATAGATCGGCGGGAATTCCACCGGACGTATGGTGCAAAATCTGGGTGCCTACAGTGCAGACCTGGCAGCTAAGCTAAAGCTTCCTCCAAAGTCAAAGGCTTGCAGCGGACTGCGCAATGAAACTTTTTCGGGAAACACATGGCAACCATCAAGAAACCGTGCTTTTGCGGCTGGTGAGTCCCCTAAAACCCATATTCCAGGCATTCCCGACTTTGATACGTGTTGGCAGATTTCAGTTTGTTGGGCCCGAGGGATTGTCCCAAGAGCAGGAATCTCAGATTTCGGCGACAGAGGCTCTGATCAGCCTTGAGCTGATAAAATGTCGCTGGCACCACACGGCGTTCGCGTCTTCGTCTTGGCATCGTGCAGGACATAAGGTTCAAGTAGGGGAAGAAGCCCTAAACTGCCCTAAACCCTGAACCCTAAACTCTAAACCCTACACCCTGAACCCTAAACCTTAAACCCTAAACCCTAAATCTTAAACCCTAAACCCTAAACCCTAAACCCTAAGAAGCCGGTGTAGAAGAAACCTCGGATCAGATCGTGGCCCGCTATCATCCTAACCCCACAACCAGGAAAAGAATTCATCTAGGGGCCTTAATTTTAGGGTTTAGGGTTTAGGGTTTAGGGTTTAGGGGGGCCTTAATGCTTAGAATATGTGGGGTTCCTGTTAAAGCGTTCCTTAAAGGGCTCTATAAGGGCTACTATAAGGGCTTAAGGTTTAGGGGCCTTAATGATTAGAATACGGTTTTGGGGCCGATTATACTATAATTATAATATGGAGCCCTCAACAATAATATAGGTAATTATTTGGGCCCCTACATTACAAAGACCCTCTTGTCTCCAACCTTAGGCAATAGCTCAGATGAAGAAAGCTTCTTATTACCTGCATCCCTACAACAGAACCCTCAAAACAAACACAAAGGAGGCCCATAAATCCCGAACGTCGGCAAAGCTGAACCCAAAATGCGGCCTAGCAGTAGCAGCAGTAGCAGTAGCAGCAGCAGCAGCAGCAGTAGCAGCAGCAGCAATAAACGAAACGGTAGCAGTGGAAGTAAAAGTAGTGAATATTGCGATTATTATTAGTAGTCGTCGTCGTAGCAGATTTCAACACCCTATGCCCTAAACCTGAGGTCTTGAAACCTCCATCTAGTCTTGCAGGCCAGAAACTGCTAAGCCCTAAAAGTTGAATCTTAAGACCCTAAAGCCCTAAAAATCTTGACAAAAAAACCTGAACCGACTGGCAGAAGCAGGGCGTCTGGATCGCCATCTCTGTCACAGCCCCGAAGGCCCCAACAAACCTAAACCCTAAACCCTAAACCCCTAAATCCCTAAACCAAAAACCCTAAACCCTAAACCCTAAACCCTAAACCCCAAACCCTAAACCCTAAACCCTAAACCCCTAAATCCCTAAACCCTAAGCCCCTAAACCCTAAACTAAAGAGCGAAGGCAGTGGCCTGGCTAAAGGGGTCCTTGCTAGCTAGAAGGCTTGATTCGATGTGCTATAACCGTAGTGATGATAAAACTAATGATAGTGGTCGCACTAATACTCGTCATAAAACAAAAATAATAGTAGTAATACTACTACTAGAAAACCATCGTAATAGTACTAATGAACCCTAAACCCTAAATCCTAAACCCTTCTAGTACTGTAGTAGTAATAATGATGCTTCCCACCGTTCTGGGAACCTTTGCAGGACGAAAACTGCAAGCTGACTGATTTCTGCCACGAGCTCGAAGGCACTTCTGAATCAAGCATGCAAAAACATCTATGGGGTTTAGGGTTTTGGGCTTAGGCTAGTTCTCTCAAGTAGGGCCCGTCCAGGAGAAAACTTCCTAAACTTCAAACACACTGACAGGACATGCACCTTATCATGCTTTTGCCGGACGGTGCCCCTTCCCGCTTTGACCACTAGAATCACATGAAGCCTAGCGAGCTGCTCGCACATCTTCTGCCAGCTCGGACTGGACTGGACTACCTCAAACCTTAGAAAGTGAAGGGGCGCGTCACAGCCAAGCAACCGTGCATGCGCAGGCACCGCAAGGGTGTGCATCAATCACCACCCGCGAAGCAGCACACCAGAAAAAGTTAAATTTCAGCCTTACCGTCCGAAAGGGCCGTAAGCGACTATGCAAACTACAGCCATACAGACTTGGCAAGCCTCACGCCACTGAGGTCACTCGTGCCCGCCCTTAAGGAGGCCATCTGTGTCTGCACATCGTCGAGGAAGCTGTGGTCACGAACGGGGCTATGCTGGATAAACTGAATCATTCGCTTCAAGCTCATGCGAGTGAGGAGCTTGTGCAGATTCCTCATGGTCCTCATTGTTTTGGGTGATGAAAGACGTGGACTGGAGCATTTCTCGATCTCCCAGTGGATCTGCTGCTGCAGGTAGAAGGACTCGATAAGCACTCCATCCAAAGAAGCCCGCTCAAAGACCTGCTGCAGAAGCAACTGCAACACATCTGCTTCGGCCAGGCTCTGCATAGCTGCTCGTTGCATCTTGTCTGGCTTCACTTTGTTCATGCTCCTCGACGACGGTTGGGGCTCGTCCATGCTGCTGGCGGAACGGGCTGACCTCGTACTCTCTGCAAGCATGCATGGGCTAAGTGTAGAGACCTTGATAGTAGGTTAGACTAGGATTTCGGTACAGTATACCATGAGTATACCAAGGAGCCATAGGGAATATAGTAGGATCAGACCCCGGAACCTCTGCAGCCATGGCACAAATCCCAAGGATTCGCTGCCTGCTGCATGGGTGAAACAGCTCTCGTCCTGCCGGCTTCCGCAACACAAGAACTGGGAGTTAGGAGTAGGGGGACCCCTTGCAAATCTAGACCCTCTCAATAAGGTCCCGTTTAAGAAAGCCATAAGCAGGCTTTAAGAAGGGTCCCCTTTACGGGGTCTCCCTAACACGACCTAGGAAGAGCGGAAAGCGCGAGAACGGAAGCTGGGAAGTTTGACAGGCGAACCACGGCAGAACCCAATGGCACCTTCACCATGACAAGCCAACCCCCCCCCCCCCCCCCCACCCAAAACCCCAAAACCCTCAAACGGTTTAAGGGTTCAGGGTTTAGGGTTTAGGGCCCTCAAAACAAAAAATCCCCTCCAACACCCAAACTCAAAAACACCAAAACCCTGAACCCTAAACCCCAAAACCGAAAAAACCCACACCTTGAACCCTAAAACCGTAAAAGAATAAAACCCTGAACCCCAACGCCCCCAAACCCTAAACACAAGCAACCCTGCTTTCTACCGGGGGCTCCTTCACGAAGGACTTGGAAAGGCAAGGAGAAGGGACAGCCGAAGTATGCTACGACTACGCGGGAATCGAAGCCTACACAGCTGGCAGGAGCCAACGCAAGCAGAGTGCGCTTGGCATTTTGTGAAGAACCCCAAACCCTAAACCGCTTGTTGGATTTCTTGCAAGACCTTCTCAAGGGGTTTAAACGCTTAGATGGCCTCATCGCTTGTAGCTGGGTGATTCGACAGGGTTGTTCAGGGCTATCGGTTCTTGATGAATCTAGGGCTGCGGCAAACTAGAGCTCCATCAAACCGAAAAAGCTGGGCACAAAACCATCAACCTTAACAGGACCCTAAGCCTACCACTAAAACCCCAAACCCCCATCCTAGAACCCTACACAAACAGCTATCTCGAAGAGAACCTGGAATTCATTCGACCGGATGTCAGGACCCGAAACTGGTCCCCGAAAGCCGACATAAGGGGTTTAGGGTTGAGGCCTTGAGGGTTTAGGAGGGTTTGGGGTTACGGTTTCGGCTTCAGGGCTTCAATCCGATATCACGTTGTCCTCTGCCTGTAGGTAAGCGAAAGAATGAGGGTTTAGGGTTTAGGGTGTGGATGCTTGAGAAAAGACACTATGAAAGCAAAACATCTACAAACTAGCCAAGAAGTGCAGATCGAGTGCTTAACAAAGCCGCCGATTTTGGGACCACGGTCTTGTGGTTCATAGTCGACAGAAGGGAGCCCAAAGCTCTAGTATGACTCATGTTGCAGGCCTCTGCCTCAAGAGACTGAAGGAATATATAACCCTAAACCCTAAACCCCCTAAACCCCCGAAATCCCCGAAACCCCCGAAACCCTAAACCCTAAAAGAGGGACAGTTCTAGGGATCCCCTCTCCCCCTTAACCTCTTCACCCCCCCTAAACCCTAAACCCTAAACCCTAAACCCTAAACCCTAAACCCTAAACCCTAAACCCTAAACCCTATGAGCCCACGGCCCGATACCCCCAAACCCAAACTCTTCAACTCTGAACCTTTGACTAAAGGAAACTACAGGTGGGGAGTTTAGGGTTTTGGAGTTTAGGGTTTGGGGTTTAGGGTTTGGGGTTTAGGGTTTAGGGGTTTAGGGGTTAGGGTTTAGGGCTAAAGGAAACTACAGGTGGGGAGCTTAGGGTATATAGGGCTTCTATAAGGCCTCCATAAGGTATATAAACCTTCTCTCAGGCTCCTATAAGCAGCAAAGGGGCCTCAGTACTTAGGATAGGGTTTGGGGGCCCATTCTACTATAACTCGTCATGAGGGAACCCGCAAAATAGTATGGGTAGTTATTTAAGCCCCTATTTCAAAGATCCCTTGACCCCAAGCCCTAAAACCCTAAAACCCTAAACCCCTGAACCCTAAACCTTAAACCCTAAAGCCCTACATCCCTAAATCCC